ATTCCTTCAATGCTTCTATTACCCTTCCTCAACCTTCTTCCTCTCTAGCTGAATTAGTAGCGGTTTTAGCTGCAATTCATGTTTCACCACCTAACTCCAATATTGACATTTTCACAGATTCATTAATCACCATAGCCTCTTATTCAAAAATAAATTATTTTTTTTCTTACGCCCCTACATACAACCCCATTTTTAAAGCTTCAAATTATCCTATCTGGTGTTCACTCTTCCGCCAGCTCAAAGAGAAAAATATAGATATCACATTCTATAAAGTCAAAGCTCATGCTGACGACCACCATAATAATGAAGTTGACTAACTCGCTAAAGAAATAAGTCTACCTACAACTCTAGTACAGTCAAAACTAGGTTTCGACTATACCCTCTATTACAACAACCAGATCGTTCTGATGCCTCCATGACAGTTTATCAAAGACATCCTCAACTCCATTGACTTTCACAACATTTAACTACTTCCACATTTTAAAAAACACTCAACACTAGAGGTAGACTGGATTAATACTGCCTTCGTACTCAATGATAATAAAAGTGACTTTGTCACATCCTATAAGGCCTCCTCTATATGAAAATTCAAAGTCAAACTTTTGCTTGAACTTCTCCCTTCACTTGAGATACTCAAAATGCGTCATTCCAAGCTATATGATCCTTCATGGCCTTGCCCTAAATGCCTTACTAGCTTGGAGAATTTTGATCATATCTGGCTTTGCCAATATACTTCACAACAAGTCAACGACATTTTATTAGATACTATCGCCTTCCTCTCTCAGCATCTGTTTGAACTCAATCAACAATTTGATATAGCAAGCATCATTTCATTGGATATTTGGAACCTTAATCCTACATACTCCTCTTTTAATTTCATTGACTTTATAAAAGACATAGTTCCGTCCTTGCTTACAACGAAACTACATCAAATAGTAAATAATAAGACACTCGTTCGTAGCTTACTTTCCTCAACATACCACTTCACTCATGAAAAAATCAAAGCTCTTTGGCTTGATCGATATGCCACCCTAAAAAAATTTGAAGATGAACACAACTTGTCTTTCAAGGATCGAAATGAAAATACTGTATCAACTGGCTTTCCTGACTCCACCCCCACACCTTTACTATTTCTCCCTACTTTCATAATTCATTCCTCTTTGGTTCGCTCTGGTCAAATTTTTGGAACGGTAGTAACCAAGCCCCATACTGGATGGTAGAACCTATTTTAAATTAGTTTAGGGTAGGTTAGTCTAGAACGGTGCAAGGTTGGTTTTGATTTAGTCTTTACTAGATAGAAATTTTTGTACTCTCTCATTTGTAATTTGTAAATTCTTTTTACCTTACTTTTAATAAAGATTGTGCAAAGCTACCGCACGTTAAAAAAAAAAAAAAAAAAAAAAAAAATTTAACTAATAAATTCAATTATAGAAATCAACTTATTGGTTAATTTCCAAAATTTAAAAAAATAAAAAATAAAGAAAAATAAAAAAATTTTCACACTAGTATTAAAAATAAACCCAAAAATAATAGATATAAAATAAAGAAGAATAAAAAATTTTTTACTAATATTAAAAAACCAAAAATCAAAAAATAATAAAAAAAATTATTTTTTATTATTTATTTTGAGTTTTCATCACTTTTAACTGTAGATGACTGCAAACAATATCACCCTTTCAACTTTTTTACATTCTTTATTTTCTATTATTGTCCGAAGCGTAAACGTAGGACTTTCAATGTACACTTGAAACCATGCAATGTCTGTCTGTCACTAAGCTTGTATATTCTTTAGTAACTCTCGCTTTGATTTTTATATCATAAATTATATTTGATTAGGTTTTATACAACTATTTTAAAGCATGCAGCTAACCATATACTACAAATTATTATTAAATTTTCATTTTCGTTGCATTTGAAATGATGATATAATGCTAGAATCAAGCGTGATTCAGAGAAGATTTTTAAATAAAAGAAGAAAAAAACGTTAGCATAAAATATACTAATAATTGAATTTATTATCATATAAAAAATAAGTTTTAATATATTTTTGAATATAATTTCTGATTTTCATGATTTTCAATTGTTTTTAATAAGTCATGAATTAAATAAAATGCTTTAAAAAAATTTTTAAATAGAACTACAATTGTTATAAATCAAATTTACAAAAATCTGACATTATCAAATAAATAGCGTAAGCTATATATAGAAGTTCTAAATATGTAAATATGCTTTATAAATCACTTTGTAATCCTTGAAGATTTGATTCACCAAGGATAACCTACAAATACATTAAATATCGTTTAATTTATATATTTTTTTTTTTAAAAAAAAAGATATTTATAAATTAATTAACTTTAATTACCTAAAACTTCCCAATTTGGAACATGTCTTTTGTCAACGAGTTTCCATACTTGAGATACATCAAATAATTCAATAAACTGCTGATCCATTGAACGCGACTTTGGGTGCGAAAAACGTCGATATTCTTCAAAAATCGAAGTATGGGTCCATCTCTGAAGCTTGCGAAGACATCCAATCAAACATCCTGTCCGATGCTTTTAAAGTAAAAGCAAATATATTAAGTTGAGAATGTTAGAAGCAAAGTACCGAAAGCTAAAATATTAAAGTAATATACCTTGCCCTTATTACAGTGAATCAAGATAGGATGATTACGTTGATCTGGGAAAGAAAATGTCAAAGTATGTTAGAATGAAAAATAAATAATAAATACATTTTCTAAACTTTCATTACATTACCTAGAATTACGGCCAACGCGGCGCATATTTTGTCTTCGGGTACTGATAAAAGTATCATTACAAAAAATTTTTATTTATAATTTCGTCAAATAAGAAATAAATTACAATCTAAAGAAATCATCAATGCGTACTTTGAACAAAAGGTTCCTAATAATAAGAACAAGAAAGGGTTAATTTGATTTTATGCGTATATAGAATGGGAGATGATTCATTCACGTTACCTTGTTACCAGCTATTCCAAATTGAAAAAATTTTATGTCATTCGCTTCCAAGAACTTCATATTTTGTTCAGGATACTCTTCGAGGATCAGCGTTCTTTATTAGGGGACACAAAAATAACGATTCATTTGAATCGATAATTCAATTGCAGTAATACGCAAAAAAATTAAAATATCGAAGATTCCAGTTGAGAATTCTTTTATTCGTACAGAATACTTTTCAGCCCAAGTTTCTTCAAGAAAGCATAGTTCTTTTTTTTGGGAAAACTACTTCTATAAACCCAAGTTGATACCATGGTAAAGTTATCAGGAGGTATAAGTTCTTCATACTGTTGGTGTTCCTCACCTGACGAAGAAGCTGTTGACCAAGACTGAGTACGTTGGGACGCTAAAGTTGAAGAAATGAAAGGTTTTGAAGACACCGTAATATTTGAAGTTTGATTCTCTTGTTGAGTAGTGGAATCATCTTTTGTCGACATATTGGTGAGAACGGAAATTTTTTTTTCTGAATCGGGAAAAATTTTCTAACCTGATTAATCAACATCGTAACACCACCATTTTTATCCGCAGTCATTGATCAGGTAAAATTTAAGTTCATTACATTCTTTTTCTTTTGAACGATCAACTTTGTTTGAACCACATGGAAAAGATTTTATTTGAGTGTAGTTTACATGGTCATATTAGTAATAATTTAAAAGAGAAATTACTAGACAGATTAATAGGAATATGCGGGACTCATCCTATACCAATTTTTGAACACGAAATTGGCTTTGTACCAACAAGTTAAATAAAACTTAATTGTAAAGTTTTTAAACCATAAAATTTTAAGCTCACGATTTTTAAAACAAAATTATAGTACAAACTCCGGAAGGACCTACACGAAACGAAGATATATTATTAAGGTTAAAGTCACCAATTGAAGAAAACGATTTAACCAAACGACAATGGTATATATTTCTTCACATTGACTCATGCCATTCCGCCTATATTTCAATCACCTTTTCGTTAACTTTTTAATCGCCAGGATATTATGTCAACTCGGACTTCCAGAAACAAGAACGGGTAGAACCGTAACAGTCCGACCGGTGTTATATTCGAAGATCTCCACCGGGGATGCACTTAAATTTATGAATGTGCTCGGATATAGGTTGGTTAAAGTTTTTCAACTACTTTTGATTAAAAAAAAAAAAAAATATTAAAAAAAAACCATACGTTCCGATTAGATACGCATTCGAATTTGCCAAAAAAGGAATTGTATTTACGTTTCGTGATGCGCTAAAAATAAGCATCACACAAATCTTCAAGGCATGTATTCTATTCCATATTCCTTTCTGGTTCCTATTAACTTTTGATTAATCACAAGATTTTATAGTTAGACGTTCAACTTGAAGTGTCCAAATTAACGCCGTATGATCCAAAGGAAAATTGGATGGTAGAAGTAACTACTATCCCGGTGCCACAAGATCAGGTTGATGCATGTTGTTTGGAGTTAAGATTATTTGGTGATTCTTTGAAAGGAATCTTGAACTTATTTCATGTTGATCATTTGGTTTTACAAAATAAAATTCATTATTCCTAATCATCAAGTTACGTTCAATTTATTGTTGCGGAGGTCATATGAGATGTTATGTAACCCGGAACCTTGGTGATAAAGTTCATTGGAGTTATTGTACTGGTCAAATCCGCACATGATAAGGCATTTATTAACCTGTTATGGTGATATTATTATTCGGACATGCGGGAATGTGGAATCACATGGTGTCATCTGCCTTCTATTTTCGGAATGTTGGGTTTTTTATAAGTATGCATTTCAAAACATCGATCGATTCTTTAGGCGGAAGTTCATTTAATAATTTTCCCGCTGATTCCCGTCTTCTTAAGTTCAATCAATAGATTAGGACATTTCACTACCAAACTAATCGATTTGTAATCATCGAATAGATTAATAATTGCATCATGGATTAAATTATATTTTTATTATTTGTAATGCTTCGAAGTTATTTTGATGAATGCGTGATAATGAGAAAAGAAAGAAAAAAAGCGTAGACATTCTAAAAAATTAGACACGTAAATCGTGCATGATAGCGTCTCCTAAGTTTAGTATATACAAAAGGTATCTCGTTTGAAATTAAAAAAAAATAATACTTTTAAGGGTTTGGATTTGCACAGCAAAGAAAATGAAAAAATTAAAAAATTAATTTTACAATTCTATAAATATAAAAAAAAAAGAGGTTTAAAATGTTCATTATGATTACTAAATTAGGAAAATAATGATTTTCGTAAATCGTCACAATGTAATTACCAATCAAATTTTCTCCCACCACAACTCGGAGCAAAACTACCATTCATAGAACCTCTATACAAATCTTTGATTACTTTCCCTTCAATTATAGTATGTTCTATTATACTTTTGGCGTGGCATGGTATAACTCGTCCATACCAAATTCCCTGTCCTTCTTTATAAACAATAACATTACCCGCAAATCGATGTCCTAAACAAACAAACAAAAAAAATATTTAGCCAATCGATCCACAGAACAAGAAACCTTATGTTGTGAATCATTACATACCTCCGGTGTGGCTGCTTAAAAAGACACCAACACCATCGTTGTAACGCGACTCGGGGTCTAATCCTTTTTCTTTTAGGACTTTATCAAATTCATTCTTTAATAAAGGACCGGTGACCCCACATCTTTTATCCCTTTTTCGATGTGAACAAATCACAATAACCGCTCTATAAGGCACCTTTTCGATTGGGAAATTATTATCAAGATAAACATCGTCTTTCGATAAGAATGCTTTATAAAAATTCGCAGCTTGTTTGGTTGTAACGTTTTTGATCAGTATGTTGTCAGGAAATATTAATACATCATTGCCCTTTGAAAATATACAGTCATTTTCCGTATTTCGTCTTGAAGAATTCGTTATTATTATTCTCGTATGATCCGTATTTTCATGTTCTTCCGTATGTAGTTGTAACCCATTTTTACTTTTCTTCTCGTTGAGTTTGACATTATTTATAACCTTATGAAAGCTAGACGCTAAACTACCACATTCATCTTCAATATTTGTTTCCCAATCTCCTTTTCCTGTTGATATTAAAACATGCTTGATATATGGTTTAACCGTATTATCTAAAGGTGATTCGTAATCAATTTTTAAGTAAGATGGATAACTAGCATGTGAAGCACAAGGATCCAAACAATTTAAACATGGATCCTCTTCATCGTTTTGACTTTCCGATCGTTGTAATTCATCAAAAGTTATTAGTTCATGTTTTGAAGGGACTGTTTGTAAAAGTGCCGCCGTCTTTGCGTCAGGAAATTCGCTAACTGCTGGAGCATTCGATATTTCCATTTTAGGAGTCGACAATTTATCTTCATTTGATAAAGTAGATGGGGGAACCGAACGAGGTGATGGTATTACCGAGCTAATCACATTGAGTATTTTTGAACCGAAACGACGAATTGGTTTCTCCATTCTCATTAATATTATTAAGATTACTATTAAAATATATGTGATAAATATTGATGCAAATAATCTCGTAGGTATTATTTGTTTATTTAGAGATGTTACTAAAAGATGTAATGTTTTCATAGCAGATTTGAATTTTTTATAAAGAAAAAAGGACGTCAAAAAAAAGGAAAAAAATTATATATGTATATGTATTTTTTTTTTTTTTTTTTTTTTTGGTAACGAGAAAAAAAAAAAAACAGGACACTTATATATATTTTTTTTATTTGATTATTATTTTTTTTTTTTTTATGGGTTACTTTAAATTTTATCAGATTCGATCTTCATACACAATATGCACTAATTTTTTTTTTTTACAACCATACTAAAACAATATAAAATTTATCAGATCCGATATTATTTATTCCGAATAATTCCTATAATATTTCAAAGCCACCTTTCCTATTCAAGCTTATCAGATTCAACAATATCTATTTTTTTACTTCCGAAAAGTAAAATTTTTTTCAGATTACTTTATCTGTTCTTTGATAGAAATCTCGATGTTATGTGTTACAAGTTCATTATCAATTCTTTCTTTTCTGGAATAAATAAAAATTTTTTTTTTTTTGATGTATAAAAATCTGATAATCTTTCTTCTCTTATTTGCTCAGAAACAAAGTTAATAATAGAAAGTTTTGATACTAGTTCTGCCGAAAAATGAAGCCACAAAAATGAATTATTCAAGTTTATCGATTATGTGTTAATTGTAGTAGTTCATGAGTCATTGTGTCGTTCACGTTCACATGAGAATCACGTGTGTTTGTTTTTTATAAAAACAAAAAATGAACGACACAATTTTTACCAAACACAAACTAGTTGTGAAATGACCTGATATTAAACAAGTGGCCTGACTTGACTCGTCATACACGTGTAATCGTCTCCTTTGCGAATTATGTATTTATTTGTGATTATCAAATAGCCATTTCTTTTTTTGTAGTATTTTATACTGAAATTCCAATAGATACTCAGGTATTAAAAACATCGCTTTGGGCATATCACGTAAATACTATGTATTTTTGTCATATTATCGAATCAAGATTTGAGGTGATGACACAATTTTTTTCGATACAATAAATTTGGTGAGAATTTTTAATGGATTATTTAAACAATATAAATAATTTATAAAATAAAATTTGTTGAATCTACGATTATTTTTTTTACAATAGTAATCTAAAAATTTATTTATTATTATTATAATTATTATTATGATCTTAAAAAGTAAAAAAATTAAAAATTATTTTATAATAAAAAATATTATTAGTAAACAAATTTTAAAAAGAAATCTTTATTTTTTAAAATCTATTATAATAATAATATCATTAAAAAAAAATAATAATTAAACTAATAAAAATACTTGGATAATTTATTTTTTTTAGAATATTATTTATAATATCTTTAATAAAAAAAAGAATGTATTTAATAAATAAAATTTTTATTTAAATTTAAAACATTAAATCTATAACTAAAGATGACAATGTAACTATTTACAAATAAATATCAATTAGTTACAATTTTATTATTAATACATTTTTTACAATTAAACTTATTATAATTACTATAATAAATTTGATATAAAACTCATCAAATAATAAAAAAAATTCTATAATTATAATAAAATATTCAATATTATATAGTAAAAAATTTAGTATAAAATAAGTAAAATTAGTAACATTTTATTAAATATTTAATTATTCTTTAGATTGTTTAGTAAGAAAATTTACTAAAAGTATTAATTTATTAATACAATATAAAATATTAAATTAGAAATATAATTATTATATATTTAATATATTTTTTATTAGAAGATATTTTAAGTTTGTTAAGTAATCTTTAAAATAATTCAATTTTAAAATTAAGTTTTAAAAAATTATTATAATAAATTTTTTTAAATTTTAAAAAATTTTAATTCATATATTTATAAGCTAATTGAATTACTTTATTATTAATAAAAGTTATAAAATTCTTAATAAAAATTATTCTTTATAATAAATTTTATTAGTCTAATATGTAAGTAAACACTATTAAATAAAATGCAACTTAATAAATTTATCAATCTATTCACTTGTTTATTATTTAACTTAATTTTATTTACTATATTTGTTTGTTATACACATAATTATATACCTTTTTGCTGATTGATTAAATCATTTATATTATGATCACTTTGAACTCTCAACAGTTTTTATTATCTAATAATATTATATTATAATTAATATTATTAAAATAAATTTAATAAGATTATTAAAGATAATATTATAATATAATATATTATAATGTAGTCAAATATAACTTAAATTAAATTATAATTTAGCTAATAAGAATACAATATAACAATTAAATTTTATTATTATTATTTAGATTATAATATAATTATTTATTACATTATAATATTATTAAATATCTTAAATCATATAAACTTTTAGTTTTAATAATACAGACCCCCACCAAAAATCTCTGAACACCTTTTAGCTCAATATAAAACTCAAAATTTTAAAGTTATTGAAAAAAAGTTTATTAATATATTTATTAATGTATGATATGCTATACATTTTGTATTAAGTAATTAGTACTTAGTCGGGCCTCCATTTGCTTCAATTACAGCCTAAATTTACTGCAGCATATTATTAACCAAATTTTTAATAGTATGTATAGGAATTTCTCATCATGCCTTCTTAACATATCAGTCGAGTTCAGCAAGATTTGAAGGCTTTTTTTTTCACGAATACTTTTCTTGATATAAGCCTACAGATTCTCAATTGGATTAAGGTTTGAACTTTAAGCTGACTATGGAAGTACACGCAGATCATTTTCTGCTTTGCAAGTTTTGTTTTATGAAGGCGAGCATTATCCTTCTGAAATATACTATTACTATTTGAAAATGCATGTTTCATAGTTAGCATAATGTGCTTGTGAAGGATGATAACATGTGAAGCACCATTTGCTATTCTAAATAATGGAACAATAGGTCCCAAACCTTATTTTGAAAAGCATTCCCAAAACATTCAACTAGGGCTGTGTTTCACTGTAGCAGAAACACAAAAAATGTTCTACTTTTCCTGAGGTTTTCACCACACTTGATTATATTGGCTTTGTTAAAATTGAGAAAAGGTCAATTCATCACTCCACATGACTTTTGACCAATTATCTTTTGTTCATCTTTGTGATCCAAATACCATGCAAGATATGCCTCTATATTTGCTGATGAGATTAGAAGTTTTCGTCAAGCAAGACAATTGTTTAGCCTAACTGCACGAAGTATTCAACTAATAATGCGAGCTGAAACATCTTGGCCAGTCTCTTTTTTCCAAAGTTGTTAAACTTCTACAGTGCATGAGCGATGATTTTTTTCTTTATCATTAGTTACAAGTCGCTTGAGTCAGTTTCATTATGAAGGTTCAATAAAAGGTGATCGACCAGAACGAGACTTCAAATTAGTGATTCTGGTGTTATCTATCCTTTTTAAAGTGTCAAATACTGTTAACACTTCACAACTGATGGTTTTGGAAATAGTTTAGTAACTATCACCACGTTGATAGTAAAAAAATATAGTGCTGCATTGTTCTGCTATTAATTTTTGAGTCATTTTCGTTATTTTCAGAAGATTAAAGTTTATTTTGATTTAAAGTCAAAATAAATAAACTAAACGTGCATTTATTAGGTTTGACTTATATAAACAAAGTTCAGAACATCATTGACTATAATATTATAAAGTCACATGACATTATCTGTATAAAATCGCACCTAAAAAATGGTGTTTAGAGACTTTTAGTAGGGGTTTATATATTTATTATTTTTATTATTATTAGATTATATTGTACTTAATTAAATTATGATTAAAGCTAATGCTACAACTAATTACAACTGATAATAAATTAGTATCATAAGATTATAACTAGTTGTAATATTAATAAAATTGAGTTGCAACTAGTTACAACTAATAATAAATAAGTATTATATAATTATAACTAATTACAGCATCATTTTTAATTATAATAGATTATAATAAAATTATTTAATTATGATGAAATTATTTAAAATATAATGTTTTAATCAAATTATATTATTATTAAGATATATGTAAATTTATAATAAAATTTTAGTAATGATACTTTATATAGATGCCTGCCAAAACCTTCTCAAAATAATTTCATCATACCCTTTTCTATATTTTTAATATAGTTTCAACAGTTTCAGCTTTTGTCATATTGAAAGGGTTTTGTCATATCCCTTATTATGATTTTAATATAGTTTTGTCTAAATTTTAACTGTTATTAAAGGGTTTTGTCCCTCATCATTAATACTTTATAATCTTTAAGATATTATATTATTATCAAAAAGCATGACTTATTTTAAAAAAAATAAACTATTCTATTATATTATAGTTTTTTAATCAAAAAAGAGAAAATAAGATTTGAATCTTTTAGATATTATCATTAAATTTATTTCAGTTATCTTAACATCTAAGTCAAAAGATTATAATAATTAATTCTATATATTAAAGTTTTTGATCTTAGAATTTTTATAAGTTCTATAAATATCTATTATATTTAAATCAATTTAATAATTTATTACATCTTAGAATTTAAAATATATTTAGTCAAACTCATAATTATAAATTCAAAAGTAAGTTAATATAAGGTATCATAACAAATCCTAATATAAAATAATATTAAAAATAAAAGTAATTTATATAGATTTAAATTAATTTTTTTATTTATAATATTAAAACTTGTACTTGTAAAAGAATTTATGAACTTGTAAAGAATTAATTTACAATTTGAGCAGATAGCTATTCTATTTATATAAAATTAATTTATTATAGCTAATTTGCTATATTATAAATTAACTAAATATAAATATTTATTCTAATAAAAATATACTTAACATAATAAAATAATAAAAATAAAATAAATAAAATAATAAAAAGAAATAAAATAAATTATAAATATTAAAGATTTACAGATAAA